AGAGTACGCTCCTGACTTCGGCTCTTCCAGGGCATAGCTTGACATACTCAGGCTTGCGCGGGTTTCTCGTATTGGGCTGTAGGGTCGCGGAAGTATCGTTTTCAGATCAAACGGGAACAGACTGGTGTGCATCCTGTACAGGAATGTCGCAACTGCAATTTGCCGCCTGTGATAAAGAGGAAGCATGTTCAGTTCTGATCGTGCTTCTTCCTCATCTTCATTTGTTGGTCCATACTCTCTTGGTCAGGCTGGGTCAGGCTGGAAATGGTAGTAGCTGCCTTGCCGTTGCGCCTGTTTAGCTCGGTTTCCCGGCAGAGAAAGAGTGTCAGAGATTGTCGAGCCAAGCTTAAGGTAAGAAGATAATCAGAAGACGGAAATAAAACATTTACACGTAGTTTGTTGATCTATTTCAATTAATGGGTTATTAGCTTTTCAATTCAGCATGTTAGTCCTAAAGAATTTAATCTCAATTGTAACTTTATTTTCTCTTTTATATTTGTAATGTTTTAGTAATTTTGAACGTTATTTAGCCTAACGAGTTCTTGTAGATTAATTCTGAAAATTCCCAGTTGGGAGAATTAATAATAAAAACATTAATTGATAAAACGTATTGTAGCGTATTGTTATGGGATAGTAAGTTTACTCCAACATTTTGCAGATAAAATCCATGCCTACAGTGAATCTCATGAATCTGGTAAAATGATCATTCAAGCTCGTCATAGAGTTTGTTACTGCGCATTACTTACCTCCGGTAATAATATAACTGACAGAAAGAGGATCATGTTCCCGTCCTGTTCCACTCAAGTCTCTGACACAAATCCTCATGGATTTTAGGCCAACTTCCTGAAATAGAACGAATCTCTCTGCGATGAGATACTTCATTTTTCTGCTAGGCAAGAGAATTAAGAAAATCTGTAGAAAAGTAACGTACCTCCACTCATGCCGTGACAATATTATTTTCTGGTAAAATGACGTTTTTCATGTTACGGTTGTAATAGTGATGAACTGAAACCAGGACAACAGGTGACGCGTAGAAGGTGGTGTTGTAATGAATATTCTGTGAAAACAGTGAATAAGGGTATAACAGTTCATTACATACTACATCTTCATTTGATAAAACTGCCAGGGCAGCGCAAATCTGACTCCCAAAATGAGATTAAGTCAGAAAATGGTATGAGCTATTTTCGGATCATGACTTAAACACTTAACTCATTCTCTGTCAAAAGTAAACAGAAGGAAAAATTT